AGAAGAGAAGCCGTTCCAGAGGTGAGCTCATTTCTAACCCCGGGAAGTGACTTCATGGACACTGGTATTTACTCACAAAAACACTGCATGTCAGATGTCCCTGACTAGACTTTCTGTTTCAAGTCCAGTATGAGACAAAAATTTCCTTGGACGAGTTGCTCCTGAGACAATTTAAGGCTTGGACAAGGAGAAGAAGAATTGGAGAGGAAAAAAAACCCCACAAAACACAACAAACCAAAGCATTAAAAATTCTGAAATCTTAAGCTTTTTCTGAGCAAAAGGGAATTTTTGGAGAGAAGCACCAATGGTGACAGTGCAGGGGGCAATGGGGGCTGCTGCAGGAAGAGCCATCATTACCCCCCTGTAATGCCCAGCAGCAGGAGTTTCTCTCAGAGGTGAAAAGACAAGTAGTTTTCTCTTTTTGATGAAGCCAAGACCCCAGTGGTGATTTATTAGGCTAAACAGCAGCAAGCTCCTGCCTGCATCTGCACTAGGTTAGTGGAAATTACATCCCATGCTGCTTTCCCTGCAGGAGATCCCCACTTCTGTGGGATGTCCAATGGAAAAACACACTGCTTGTACTTCTGCTGAAGGGCTGCTCATGCCAGCAATTGCCACTGGGAGCTGTGCTACCTGCTGTGGCTTTCTGCTTTCTGTTTTTCCTGGGATGATCTGTATGGATTTGGGGAGAAAAGTCCTGTTTTGGGGAGCCTGAAGATGCTCTGGCTCCCTGTGGCCCAGCACCAGGCTGCAGCTCCCAGGATTTACTGGGGCAGCATCCCAAAAGGAAGGGATTTTGGGAAGAGATGAGCTAGGTTGTATGGAAACAAGGCCTACCTGCCAGCGTTGCTTCCTAATCCCAGGGACCAAAACACCTCTGATGGTTAAACCAGTGTCGAGGGATTCAGCTGAAGGCTGCTGAGCAGACAACATCCAAGCTGACCTTTTGAGGACAGGAGGAAAAAAAGACAAAAAAAAAAAAAAAAGAAAAGAGAAAACACAAGGGGGTTACTGTGCAAACGCTGGAGAAAAATAGTCCTTTTAATAAGGGACCCCACCCTTAAAATAAGACTTATTGCTAATGCATGTCCAGGACATTTTTGTGTGATGGCATGCTAAAAAAATCCTCTCTGAGCAGGGAGCAAAGGCTTTGTTGTGGCATGAGCAAGGCTTACAGTTCCCGGGAAAAATCCTGTCCCTCTCTTGCATCACACAGTCGGGGATGGAGAGGACATTTCTAAACAAAAAGGCAGCCAGGTGGGGGGGAGGACAAACAGGGAATACATTCCTGACTTGCTATTTAATTGCTTTCTTGCAGGTGCAAGGAGCTAAATGAAAGGGAAAATAAGGATCATGTGGGGCAGAATTAATCCTGGCTTTAAGCAGGAGTTGAATGCAAGGAGGTGGCTGCTGGAAGGAAGGAGCTTCCACCCAACTTCTTTGTGGTTGCTGTGCTTTTTTATCCCCAGGGACCAGGCTTTTTCCTGTGGCACCTTCCATTGGGGGGTGATGGTGGAGGGTTTAGGGATCTTGGATGGACAGTGATGCCTCAAGGACTGATGTGGTCCAGCACCTGCAGAGTCTCCTGGGTCTTGGGATCTGGTCTCTCTGCTACTCAGTTTGATCCTTAAACCCATGAGGGGGAAAAATCATCCTTTTTTGCACTCCTGCAAGAAGAGCAGCCTCCTCTTGGAGAACAACACAGAGGCACCACTGCCAGGCTGGGACCTGCCATCCTCCTGTACATGGGGTACTTCTGAATTTAATAGATGAGGAGATAAGGTCTATTTGCATGTCATTAGCATCACCATGATGCTCCTGGGAGCAGGGCTTGGGGCTGGCCCTCTGTCATCCCTGCAGCTCTTTTACTTTCTGGGCTGAAGGAGCAGAGTGTCCTCGGGTTCCCTTCTGGCCTTGAATTGCCCATTGGATTTTTGAAGCTCTTGGGAGCTCCTTTGTCCCTCCCAGGGTTTCGTGCCACCCATGGAGCTCTCACTGCATTATACTGCTGGAAAAAAAAAAAAAAGAAAAAGAACAAGGTGGGAACTGATAGAACGCAGAGGAAAGGGTATAGTCATTAAAATGGCAAAATGACCCAAGTTTTTCCCTATTAATTCCCTTTTTGCTGCATTTCCAGTCTAGGCATATAGCTGCATTCATCCGTGATGCTCCCGCAGACTTGTGTGGTCCAGGAGCATCACTGGAGGGGGGCGGGGGTGGGGGGGGGTGTGCTGTGAGTCTCCTGGTTGTCTGAGCAACGGGATGTTCATCACTAACTCCAGGGATAATTAACTCATTTCTCCTGTATTTATAGAAAACCGATGCAGGGAGTGTTGGCACTTATCCCTGATGGGGCCACATTTGGCCACAGCATCTTGAATTCGGGCCATTTCTTGCAATACGGCTGCTGTGTCATCATCCCTGCTGCCTGCTCATTAAGCCTGAAATCAAGCAGCTCGTTAAGCCCACGAGGGCAGGGGTGCCAGCCCCTACCCGGGGGTGAAACACCGGAGCAGGGTCTGCCCCTGGGTACTCACCTCCACTTCTGGTTTGCCAGCACAGGGGATGTTTGCAGCAGCGTTGCCGTCTCCAGATGCCTGCAGAAGCCTGTGCTGAAAACAGCTCCTGGCTTGGACTCTGGTGAGGGAAGATTTTGCTACTTCCAGGGGTTTGTTGCAGGGATGTGATGCGAAGACGTGCGGGAACATCCTGACTTGGTGCTGCCGCGGCAGGAGACCCGTGGGAAAAGAGAGGGAGCATCTTCTCTTGGCCTCAGGGCATGCGTGTGCCAGGTATGTTCCCAACAGCAGGGACTAATCCAGACCTGGACATGGGTTGTGCCTTGTTCCCCCCAGAAAACCAGTTACTTTTAAACTGCTTTTTCTCTGCTTGCTCGGTGGGTGGGCATTTGGGGAGGGAGAGGAAAGGGGCTCATATGCGGGGGCTTGGGGTGTGGGCAGTGGGGCTGGAGGAGGGCAGGTGGCTGCAAGGTCTCAGCATCTCCATCCCACAGAGCTGGGGAGAGAGATTTGATCTCTGCTGCTTGTGTTCTTTGGGCGAAGGTGGGGGGACACATTATTTTGGTATCAGTAAACCAGAAGGTGCTTGAACTGGGCAGAGACCCACCCTGCACCTGGCTGGGGCTGTTAGCAGCTCCTGTGTCCCCAACAGCTGGAAATTTTTGCCCTTGAAATGTGAGTTGTCCCCAAGCTGGTTGTGCTCAGGGAAAAAGGGCAATTAAATTGATTTAATTAAAGCCGTGGGGGACCCCGTACTGCTTATCACCCCCAGTGTGGGTCTGTTCCTACCTTCACCCCATCCTGCTTGCCAAAGTTGAAGGGATGGAGGTGTTACCTGGGTCCTGGGAAGGTCCAGGCTCCTAAATGTCACCACAATCCTCTCCCAAGAGCCACTGCCAGTCCCTGGTGAACATGGGATCCCCTTTCTCCCCTCCCAGCCACCCTTGGGTGCTCACACCCATGGACCCAGAGCCAGTGCTGGAGATGGAGGTGGACCATGAAGGTTGAACATTAATGGGAAGTTCTGTGGGGTTTGTAAAGAGCTGAGCCCTGCTGGCAAAGCCCCTTTGGAAGGACTAGTCCTTCTCCAGATGCCTGCAGAAGCCTGTGCTGAAAACAGCTCCTGGCTTGGACTCTGGTGAGGGAAGATTTTGCTACTTCCAGGGGTTTGTTGCAGGGATGTGATGCGAAGACGTGCGGGAACATCCTGACTTGGTGCTGCCGCGGCAGGAGACCCGTGGGAAAAGAGAGGGAGCATCTTCTCTTGGCCTCAGGGCATGCGTGTGCCAGGTATGTTCCCAACAGCAGGGACTAATCCAGACCTGGACATGGGTTGTGCCTTGTTCCCCCCAGAAAACCAGTTACTTTTAAACTGCTTTTTCTCTGCTTGCTCGGTGGGTGGGCATTTGGGGAGGGAGAGGAAAGGGGCTCATATGCGGGGGCTTGGGGTGTGGGCAGTGGGGCTGGAGGAGGGCAGGTGGCTGCAAGGTCTCAGCGTCTCCATCCCACAGAGCTGGGGAGAGAGATTTGATCTCTGCTGCTTGTGTTCTTTGGGCGAAGGTGGGGGGACACATTATTTTGGTATCAGTAAACCAGAAGGTGCTTGAACTGGGCAGAGACCCACCCTGCACCTGGCTGGGGCTGTTAGCAGCTCCTGTGTCCCCAACAGCTGGAAATTTTTGCCCTTGAAATGTGAGTTGTCCCCAAGCTGGTTGTGCTCAGGGAAAAAGGGCAATTAAATTGATTTAATTAAAGCCGTGGGGGACCCCGCACTGCTTATCACCCCCAGTGTGGGTCTGTTCCTACCTTCACCCCATCCTGCTTGCCAAAGTTGAAGGGATGGAGGTGTTACCTGGGTCCTGGGAAGGTCCAGGCTCCTAAATGTCACCACAATCCTCTCCCAAGAGCCACTGCCAGTCCCTGGTGAACATGGGATCCCCTTTCTCCCCTCCCAGCCACCCTTGGGTGCTCACACCCATGGACCCAGAGCCAGTGCTGGAGATGGAGGTGGACCATGAAGGTTGAACATTAATGGGAAGTTCTGTGGGGTTTGTAAAGAGCTGAGCCCTGCTGGCAAAGCCCCTTTGGAAGGACTAGTCCTTCACCCAGCACAGCTGCCCCAGCACAGGCTCAGCCAGCTCCACTGTGGCTGGTTTGTGGCTGGGCAGTGGCAGGCAGCAGCTCGTCCCCACGGTCCTGGCCACTGCCTCCTGCTTCCCAGCTGCTCAGCAGCTTCACAAAGAGCTAAAAATACACGTGTGAGCAACGGCTGCAGCTACAGCAGGGGTGAGCCAAGGAGGGCAGGGCAGCTGGGCAGTGTCACCCCAGCCAGGAGGGGACAAGCAGGGACAGGCCTGGCAGGTTCCTGCAGGTGCCTCTGTTGCAGATCCCACCATCTCCCCATGTCTCCTTCTATCAAAGCTGCAGCAGATGACGCAGCCCCGGAGAGGGGTTTTTACTTTGCCTCTTGTGTTTTGGCAGGGAATGAGTGACAAGCAGCTCCCCACAGCTCCTGGCCACCCCACCAGCAATGGGGACACCAACACCTCAGCCCCCAGCTGCCCCGAGCGCTGGGTTGAGCCCCAGTTCACCCCAGCGGCGCGGGTCCGCGTGGCGGTCACAGCTGTCTTCTTCCTGCTGGCGGCGGGCAGCAACGCGGCCGTGCTGGGCAGCCTGCTCAGGAGGAGGAGGAAATCCCACGTGCGGCCGCTGATCCTCAGCCTGGCCCTGGCCGACCTGCTGGTGACGCTGGTGGTGATGCCCCTGGACGTGGCGTGGAACGTGACGGTGCAGTGGTACGGAGGGGACGTCTCCTGCAAGGTCCTCAACTTCCTCAAGCTCTTCGCCATGTATGCGGCTGCCCTGGTGCTGGAGGTCATCAGCCTGGACCGGCAGGCGGCCGTGCTCCGGCCCTTCTCCCGCGCCCGCCGCCGCCACGGGCTGCTCCTCCGCGCTGCCTGGGCCAGCAGCCTGCTCCTGGCTTTGCCACAGGTAAGGCCTTGGTGTCCTCCCCGGGGGGATTGCCCAGGCTGGGGTGGGTTTGGAGAATCACGGAATCATTTGGGTTGGAAAAGACTTCTGAGATCATCAAGTCCAGTTGTTAACCCAACGTGGCCAAGGCCACCACTAAACCATGGCCCTCAGCACCACATCTACACAGCTTTTTAATCCCTCCAGGGATGAGGACTCCATCACCATCCTGGGCAGCCTGTGCCAGGGCCTGACAGCCCTTTTGGGGAAGAAATTGTTCCCAATATCCAATCTAAACCTCCCCAGGGCAGCTTGAAGCCGATTCCTCTTGTCCTATCAGTTGTCACCTGGGAGAATAAACTGACCCTCCCTCTCTACAGCCTCCTTCCAGGTAGTTGTAGAGTGTGAGATGGTCTCCCCTCAGACTCCTTTTCTCCGGACTGAGCACCCCCAGTTCTCTTGCCTGCTCCTTGTGAGACTTGTGCTCCAGACCCTTTCCCAGCTCTGTTGCCCTTCTCTGGACACTCTCCAGCAGCTCAGTATCCTTCTTGTCGTGAGGGGCACACCACCTCTCCCAGTCCAACAGGGATAGGGAGGTGTTTCCATGCACAGCCAGGAGCACCTACAGGACATGGTGCCCTGTTCCAAAGCCTCTGAGGCTTTGAATGTCCCTTTCAGCTTTTCCTCTTCCACCTGCGCACAGTTCCAGGACGGAACTTCACCCAGTGTGTTACTCATGGGAGCTTCCGAGCGCACTGGGAGGAAACCCTCTACAACATGTTCACCTTCACCACCCTCTACATCACCCCCCTGAGTGTCATGATCGTTTGCTACATCCGGATTGTTTGGGAGATCAGTAAGCAGCTGAAGATCAACAAAGGTAAGCAGGTCCCAGCCCTTGACTCTATCATTGGCCCTGCTCCAGCCTGGAGTGTTGTTGGATCTCTGTCAACTCCCTTTGAAGGGGTAACCCAACTGAGGGGCTAGACAGAGACTCCTTCACACCCCTCTTTTTTTGTCTTCTGCATCCTGTGAGCCATAGACCAGAGACAAGATGTTTGCTCTTCTCTCTCTGGCAGAAACACAGCCATGGATGGTTATGTTCTGGTTTTCTCCCAGCTCCAGCTGTTCTTTTGACTCTCCCTGGCAGGTTTGATGAGAAATCAACATGATCACATCTCCAAGGCCCGCATGAAGACTCTCAAGATGACCATAGTGATTGTCGCCACCTTCATCATATGCTGGACCCCATACTACCTCCTGGGCTTGTGGTACTGGTTCCAGCCAGCCATGATCCAGAAGATGCCAGAGTATGTCAACCACAGCTTCTTTCTCTTTGGCTTGCTACACACGTGCACTGACCCCATCATCTATGGACTGTACACCCCCTCCTTCAGGGAGGATGTGCAGTTGTGTCTCAGGGGCATTGAAACAGCCATTAGCAGGCATGAGAGACATCAGCCTGTCTCAGTTTCAGAGAAGAACATCAAAGATGGTGTGGTAAATGGTGGGGTGGCATCAGGGTGTTCCAATGGGACAACTGCCAACACGGTCTGCTGAAGGAGATGGGAGGCACAGCTTTGGGGGCTGCTTTGTCCCATTGGAGCAGTCTGGAAACTGCCCTAAGGAGGTTTGTCACCCACCTTTGGTGGGCCAGGGTCTCTCGCCTCAAACCAGGAAAGTGTCTCCTACCTGTACTCAGGGTGAAAAACACTTGGGGGTATTATAGTCATTCCTCCATGTTCTGGCAGCCTCCTGGCAACCAGAAGACCATCCTTTCTGTACCCTACACATGCTCTAGCCCTGATTCTGGAATCAAGTATCTGCCACACTTCCAGCATCCATACCTGGGAGGAGACACACTGTCTCCTCCATGGTCTGGGGCCACGTCTGCTGGGGTGGCTGGTCTTCAAGTGTCCTTTGTACCTACACTAAGGTGTGGAGCTGCATGGATGGTTCCAAAGATGCTCCTTAAAAACCTATGTTCCTAAAGAAAGTACTGTGTGGTGGATGTTACCTGTAGAGGCACCTGCTGTGAAGCTCTGATTTCATGCTCTCTAAATAAGTACAGTTCAGTAGCTTGGACATGGTTTGTTCCTTTCAAAAACAGAAGCAGTTTGGTGAAGCATAAGTAGTAAAAGCTTTTGGCAGTTTCATCATGATTGCAGATGAAAGCTGGAATGCCAGTGGTACATACATTTTCATCTCCCTCAGCTTTCATCTATGATGTACAAAAGGTATCAAGAAAAACAATAATTTCTATTGGACTCTGTATTTTCCCTGTACTTCAATACTATTTATCTTGATATATTTCAATGAATATTGAATTATTAACATGTTGGATTGTCCTGCTTTTCCACGTTAGGCAGGCCTTGAACAGTTTTTGAGCCAGCTGGGAGCTTAAGTCAGGGCAGCTGAGCCAAGCAGACTATCAGGTGTATCCCATGCCATAATCCTCACACTCATTAAGGGGAAGGCTCACTGACGATAAGGAGTTCCTGATCCTGGGGTGGCTTCTTTTTCTCCTGCTTCTGAGGACTGGGGTGAGTATAACTGTGTATACTTTATGTTGGCATTAGCATTAGTTATGCTTTTTCATTAAATCTCTTTTCATTTCAACCCACAAGTCTTCTTTCATTTTCCTGGTTCCTTTTCTTGGCTGGGGAGAGATTACTGGGTGACTGAGCAGCTGCTTGAGGTTTATCCCCAGACAGGGGCTGAGTGTAGACATTGATGTACTTTAATGAAGTACTTATTTGTTTCATTACATGAATTAAGGGGGTCTCTGGTTTCAAATGCTTTAAGTCATAATTGCCAGCCATTTCTTATTGTGTAGTTCTCTGGTGCTTCGTTCTTGTCTTGCAGCCTGTCCTGCTGTGTCCATGCACTGACAGGAAAATCATAGTCACTGGGTTAAAAAGGAGGAGCAAAAAGGTTCAGAAACATGGCTGGTGCATCCCTTCAGGGCTCAGAAATGGGAAGAGCAGCAGAGGGGGAAAAAAACCCTTGAGTTGTTATTACTGTTGTTGGACTGAAGTCTTCAGTGACTGTGCTCTGAAATCCTTGATCACCCCCAGGCTGCCTGCTTCAGATACAGCAGCCCTTGTTTGGGAGGAAATTTTGATTAATACCTCATTAGTGGTGACCTGTGATGTTTTGGGGTGACCTTTTTGTGGCATTTGACCTTCTGGGGTGGTGTTTGACCCTTTGTGGTGACCTTTGACCCTCCTTGCCCTTCTCTGTTCCTCCTTGCCCCTCCTTGCCCCTCTTTTCTCTTCCTTTCCCTTAGACATTAGGAGGAAATTCTTCACCATGAGGGTGGGGGGACCCTGGCCCAGGTTACCCAGAGAAGCTGTGGCTGCCCCATCCCTGGAAGTGTTGAAGGGCAGGTTGGATGGGGCTTGGAGCAGCTCACTGACGATAAGGAGTTCCTGATCCTGGGGTGGCTTCTTTTTCTCCTGCTTCTGAGGACTGGGGTGAGTATAACTGTGTATACTTTATGTTGGCATTAGCATTAGTTATGCTTTTTCATTAAATCTCTTTTCATTTCAACCCACAAGTCTTCTTTCATTTTCCTGGTTCCTTTTCTTGGCTGGGGAGAGATTACTGGGTGACTGAGCAGCTGCTTGAGGTTTATCCCCAGACAGGGGCTGAGTGTAGACATTGATGTACTTTAATGAAGTACTTATTTGTTTCATTACATGAATTAAGGGGGTCTCTGGTTTCAAATGCTTTAAGTCATAATTGCCAGCCATTTCTTATTGTGTAGTTCTCTGGTGCTTCGTTCTTGTCTTGCAGCCTGTCCTGCTGTGTCCATGCACTGACAGGAAAATCATAGTCACTGGGTTAAAAAGGAGGAGCAAAAAGGTTCAGAAACATGGCTGGTGCATCCCTTCAGGGCTCAGAAATGGGAAGAGCAGCAGAGGGGGAAAAAAACCCTTGAGTTGTTATTACTGTTGTTGGACTGAAGTCTTCAGTGACTGTGCTCTGAAATCCTTGATCACCCCCAGGCTGCCTGCTTCAGATACAGCAGCCCTTGTTTGGGAGGAAATTTTGATTAATACCTCATTAGTGGTGACCTGTGATGTTTTGGGGTGACCTTTTTGTGGCATTTGACCTTCTGGGGTGGTGTTTGACCCTTTGTGGTGACCTTTGACCCTCCTTGCCCTTCTCTGTTCCTCCTTGCCCCTCTTTTCTCTTCCTTTCCCTTAGACATTAGGAGGAAATTCTTCACCATGAGGGTGGGGGGACCCTGGCCCAGGTTACCCAGAGAAGCTGTGGCTGCCCCATCCCTGGAAGTGTTGAAGGGCAGGTTGGATGGGGCTTGGAGCAGCCTGGTCTGGTGGGAGATGTGTCCCCCATGGTTGGGGGGGAAAGGGCATGGTTGGAACTGGATGATCTTTAAGGTCCCTTCCAACCCAAACCAGTCTGTGATTCTCCCTTGTGGAGACAGCTGGAGGAGAAAGCAGAGATGTCCCAAGGAGGAAGCTGATTGGAAGCACCTGTGAGGGGTGGGACCCATCAGGACTTATAGGTGCCAGCTGGGGGCTGGTGGGCTTTGGCTGCAGGTCCAGCACCAGGGAGGCTGCTGGAGGGATCGGCTGAGCTGGGGTGAGTCAAATGGCTTTTTTCTTTTCACTACTAATGTGCCAGAATTTGCTTGTGAAATTGGAGGCCTCTTCTCTGGGTGTGGGGTGAAGAGATGGGTCTGCTCAATTGTTTTGTTCCTTTCTGTGTCATTAGAAACAGAGGATTATTTCTTTGTTCTTTCTCTGCTGATTATCAAGTGTGTTTGTTGAAGAGAAACTTAGTTATGAGCCAGGTGGGGTTGTATTTTTTTCCAGTGTTGTGCAACCTCTGGGCAGTTCAGGAGCTCTGGACTTGGCAGGAGGTGGTTCTCAGGGTATTTCTGTGGCCCCTGCAGCTTTGAGTGAGCATCTGGACTTGATCAAGGTGAAAGAGCTTTGTTTTAAAAACAATTCTTGACTTGCTGTGATTGTGTGAGTAGGGAAGCTGGAAGATGCCTCTTCCCGAAAAAAATAAATCTCCTTTGGGCACCAAGGGAGCTTTCTTGACTCTGTCTCTAAGAGGGGATGCATCCCTTTTGGTCAGAAGGGATCTGCACTGGTGTCCCAGCTAATAACTTACTGAAATAGGAGGGGTGGCAAGTGTAGTTTGTCAGGTTGGCTGAGACTGGAAGATGAGGATGGGAGCAGGCACGGTGCTCAGGGGGATGCTGAGCTGCAGATGGACACAAGCACTTGCCTTTCCCCACTGGAACTGTCATTTATGCTGAATGTGCTGCCTAAGGAGGAAAAATAAATCAATTAGAGCTGCAGGAGCCTAGCCTGACTAGTAGGATTTAGCACCAGCCCTTTAGGAAGCATCCAAACTCCAAACAGATGCAGCAGGGCTGTTTGGCTTTCCTGGGGTCGTTCTGGCCAAGGTTAATTACATGGAAGTCATGGGAGAGGGGCTGGTTCGGCAGGAGCAAAAGTGTTTCTTGTGAGGTGATGGGAATGATTTGTGGAGGGGGAGGGTAATTTATTCATTGGACAGTTGTTTGGTTTCTCTGTATTGCTGATGATGGCTAATGGGAGGTGACTTTGAAGGTGTGTGGGTTTTTTGGCAAGCCTCAAATAAGCAGGAAAAGTGTCTTTAATCTCCTGAAAACATTCTTCATCTGCTTCCTG